CGCCAAAATATTGTATCCAACTGTGTATGCACAATTGTTATGTTAAAGTTACATTCGTATTGCACTATAAAACAAATAGTTTTATCCGTATGGAATTCGTTAGATTTTTAAGTACTTAATTCTAAAATATGCAAACACGTGCGTAAATAAAACTCGTTTATTGTTCGTTACAAACACGATTTACGATCTTGAAATAATATAATAATTTAAATTTTCAAAATTATTTTATTGTCTGTAGTTATACGCACAGCTTAAATCTTACATAATATTATACCTCTGAACTACTAATATTTTTAAATTAAACGAAACTAAAATATTCCAAATAATACGATAACCTATATTACAGAAATAAATCATATTATATTCTATCGATATTCTGAAAACTAATAAGTTATTGTGAGAAGTGTCTGAACAACTGCAGTGTCATATTATTAACGTATCCGTTATATGATTTATAGTTCAATCATGGTTATAGTTTTGGCAATCATGTCAACCACGAAATATAATATATTTAATTTTCAATTAAAATTCTACTTTGGCAATAATATATTATTATAATTGCAATTTGGAGTGTGGTTGAGAACGTATTGCAGCTGATTAAGTTCTAATCGACGTCCGCGTTCGTCCACGGCTTTGATAAAACTCTCACTAAATCGCAAACCGTCTTTCTCTCTGTCGATTTACGCGGGATTAATAATAATTAATCACATAATCATACGATAGAATGACGACATTAAATCGTAGCCACTCTTAAGTCGTAGTCGATAAATCATAATCGTAAACAGCGATTTCGGCCGAGTAGGTCCTCTACCACAAAAACTCGTTCGGTTTCCGTCTATAATATATACGCGCAAGTGTAATTAATTATTATAATTATGTTAGTCGGGGTAAATGTCTGAGACGTTAAGGCGGCGAAATAAAAATTAAATAAAAAAAGGTTTTTAAAAAATACATTTCGCGTTTTGTTTTCACTCGTGTCCATTATTATTATTATTGTTAGCCGCGTTAACACCACCAGCGGCGACAACACCGGAGCGACGTATACGACGCGTTCGTAACTGTTATTATATATTTTTTCTCGTCGAAATAGGTAGGCATAATAATTATTCCGTACACAATCGGAGTGTAAACACACACACGAATATAATACGTATTACGTATGTTATAATATTATAGTAGACGTCGTGTTTTTATATTATTATTTTATACCGTACTGCACTCGGCCGCGATCGATTCCTCCTCACGTATATTATATTATCGTTTCTTATTATTTTTAATAAGGCTGCGGCGCAGTGAGGTTATATTTTTTGTATTTTTTCTGTAATTTTTTTTTTTTAACATTATTTTTTCCCTTCTTTTTTTTTAATGTCACCTGCGACGGTTGTCGCCGCCGTCTACACATTCTTCGCGTAATATAGGTACAACTGGTTTTCGCGAAACGGTCGTCGGTCGGCCACCGATACGATATAATATACCGGCTACAATAATATATAATATAATATTATTATATCCTGCGAAATGTGGGCAAAAAGAGAGAAAAAGCCCAATAAATTCCAGCCGTCAGATCTCACTTTCACGCTTGGTCTATTATATAATATATAGGGTAAAATAATATGTATAATATTTACGACGCACAAGTATCAACTCAGCGATAGTGTTCTCGGAGTTTTCAATACCGTCTCTCTCCGGTCACCGGATAGCCCCCCTCCCCTCCCCTAACCAAACTATCGACTCTCTAAATCCTCCCCAAAGCGGAAAACCAGTAATGTACATGATATTTGGTATTATTAGCACATTACAGGTGGACATCAGGTACTGTTATTTTTTTGAGGAGTGTGATGGACATGCACAATGTTTATAAATTATAATGTAATACAAATAATTTTCAAACCATTGTTAATAAATTTCAATCACACAGGCAATGTTAAAAAATTATTTAACTTCTTTTGGTGAAATAGGTAGGTACTTTTGGTACTCAAAATCTCGGAACTCCACAAATTATTTTGTATTTAAACTACACTATATTAATTCTAAGCCAATATTCTTTGTAGTTGAGGCTTTAATAAATAATACAAAAAAATACATTAATTTAATTTTAAGTAATATAACAATTACTATTATTTTCACTTATTGTTCTTAGGAGAGCTTAAAATAATTTTTTGGTGGCTAAGCCCCCACAAGTCCCCAAAATTATCGCTAGTGATTATTAGTTATTATGACAGCTGAGCTAGATACTATACATGTATTCAATAAAATATGGTATCCGTAGTGTCCGTACACATCGTAGTACCCCCTTATACCTAATAATATAGATGAACAGCGCTTAGTGAAAGAATACAATATATAATATTATAATATTCAAAAGAAAAAGAAACAATTTTCTTATGAGCTGTGACAGACGGCAGGAGGGAAACCACAGTCCGTCTATTATCAGAACGTATCTTATATGGCGGTGGTATCTACTAACTATATTATTATTATTATTATTATTATTATTATTATTATTAAATATTATCATTATATTGTTTTAACGCGCGCGCTCGCGTGATCGTCTCTAATGGCCCGGCGATATTTTAATTAACCACGCGGCCGTCGATGTAAATAATTATCGCGATAATAAATAACGCGTCAGTTATTATTATATTATTATTATTATTATATTATATTATAGCACAATAATAATGCTATACGATATTTCGATGGGAACGATCTACGTCGCGTTCTGCCGGGTCGGCGCCGGGACCGTGTCGCGGAGGTGGTCGTGCGGTCACTTTTGAATCTTAATCGAAATCTATATACGGAGTATTATTAGGAGGTATATGTTGCTTCGAGAAAAAAAAACGTTTAACGTCCTCGCGTATTACGAGTGTTCGATAGTAATATTATTATTAATATTGTACAACGCTAGAACGTTATTATTTATAATAATTAATGATGTTACGAGCAGGATATCGATGCAATGGATTTAGGTACGATCGATTTCCGGCGGCGCAACGAGCACGCAACACAATTTGCACGGATGCTCGGCGCACACGATCGCGGAATATTGCGAGGATGATTTTTTTCGATAATTAGAATTCGATATTATTATTTCCTTCCGAATGACCGATATTTACATAATAATATTACAATAGTTATACCTACGTATAGTTTTCTTTTTTTATGTCAAGTATAGAGTGGAGAAAAGCTAAAAAGTCAAGTGCTCGACAATGGTCGAGTACTCGAATATATACCTAACCTCATTCTTAAAGGATCAAGTATCTACTCGGAATGGCTTGAGTATTTTAAATAGCACGAGTATTAGAATATTATAAATTAAAAGTATTAAAAATTAAAAGTTTCCTTTATTTTTTACTACGATAAAATTAAGTATATTTAAAATGTATAGATTTTAGCTTTTACATTTATTTTTCAAAGTTCAGTAGGTACTTGCTTATTTTCATAATATTATAATCCTGATGTAGAGTGATTAAAATTTAAAACCTTTGTCGGTGACCATCAAAGTGTTGACATTTCATAAAGCATATTTTAGCAAGAAAAAAAGCGTTGAGTCTATATTAACAATATAAGTAGGTTCTTGTACTTAGTCAATGACGTATCTAAGTGGAAGGGGGAAGGGGTAGCTAGAGGTTCTATGCAACAATCCATTATTATATTAATTTCTTTATCTTTTTATAAACGTATAACTCAATTCTCACTCTAATATCTAAGCTAACTACACAGTATTATACGGATTCTCCTGACGAATCAAAGAGAGAATACGAATAGTACGCATCAAGCTTTACCGACCTAAAACCAATTCCGTTTTTATTAATATAATGTATTAATATGAATGTTTCACAAAAAAATCGTTTAAGATCAGTCAGTTGATATACCCGTGTTTGACTTAAACTATGTACATTATACCTACTGGACGTTAGTATCTTTGATTTTTTCGTTGCTGCTTTTGTATTACCGGTGGTATAACTCTGCAACGGCAGATCAAAAAAACATTTTAATCGACATTATAAAGGTATGAATGTACCGTAAAAATTAACTTTCTGCATAATGTGTTTCCCGAGTGATTTACGAGACACAATCTTAAGTCATGTAGGTATGACATAATATCATCGTGTGCACAATGATAATATTGTATCTAGTCTTGTAAAGAATACAATTATTATGTATTCGAATAACTGTCTAAAAAAAGTATTCAATATAGGTATTTTTTTTTTTAATTAACTCTAAATATAAATTGGAATATTTTAAAAAGTAATTATTTTAATACGTTTTGTTTATTATTCCTTTTTTTATTTCAATTTTTTATTATATATTTATATATTTTTTTTTTAGATAAAACAAAATAATCAATGCTTATAATAGTACATTTATGATTTTAGAATTTTACATTTTGTAACAAAAAGCCATAATCTGGATTTTTCGTACTTAATTCAATCATGTTGGTGTCCAGAGAAAAAACACTCGAACGTTTTACTGTATGTCTCAAATAAGACGAATTACCCTAGTTAGGGGCAGTCCCAAATCAATATTTCCATAAGCAATAGTTAAATGGCATTTTTTCTACAGTAATATAATATTGTACTATTTGTACCAATAAGGCATTTATGCCATTAAATTGGAATTTTTTTATAGACATATTTTGAAAACACCTCACATAATATAATTTATGTATGCATCATACTTATACGTTACTTTTGGGACCTGCAGTATATAATATATTTTTAAAAAACATAATGAGTATTTTACAAAACTGTAGTCATGTTATCATTGTGCATAGCAATAGATAACGAAGATTGTGTTGTATTCGTAAAAATAAATAAATAGCACAATATTATTATAATTATACGAACATTTTATAATAATTTAAAAACACAGTGTTCCGCGCGGGCAAACAGAACAGCCGGCTTGACCGGTTGACGTCGGCGATGACGGCGATGACGACGATGACGCCGTGAGTGTCATATCCACCAACAACAACAGCAGCAGTGAGTTAGACAGTGATGTCGTCGTCGTCGGGGGAGCCGCAAAAAAGCCGACGAGTGTCCAGCAACCTGTGCCGGAGCGCGTCCGCGTCGCTCGGCCACCTGGACAGGCGCCGCGGCGATGGCAGTGGCACGATGACGGCCGGAAGTTGTGACGACGGTTGCGGAAACGCGTCAACCGTCGGTGGCCGCGACGACGACGATTACGGCCATGGAGGCCACGATTACGGTCACGATGGCCACGTTTGCGGTCACGGAGGCCACGGTTACGGCCACGGAGTGTGCGACGGCGGGTCCACATCCGGCGGCGGTGGCCACGTCCTCCGCCGTCACCAGTCAGAGTTTGGGTCACTGAACTGCCTGCACAACAGGCCTCGCACGCTTATGGAGTCGCTGCTCATCGCCAAAATGGAGAGGGCCTCGCTCAACGGCGGCGGTGGTCACCAGTACGGCTCGCACCCGTCACTGGTGCGCACCGACTCGATCGGCTCGACCAGCTCTCTGGACTCGATGTCGTCGATGAGCAGTGATTTGTGTCGGTGCGACGACTGTCTGCTGGGCATCTCCGACCTGCTGTACATCAACACTTCCGGGTACGAGGGACGCCGCAGAAAGGTACGCCATCTGCTCATACATAAAAATTATATTAAAATATTATAGTAGTTGACGTGCATAATTTATGTGGCGTAGTTATTGCGGCTAGGAGGTCAAGGGTAGGCAAATGCTACCATGACATTTTTTTTTTTTTTTGGAGGGGGGTATTAAAAGGTATTGTTTTGCCCCCTAAGTATTTCAACAGTAGCAATCTTTAATAATTTTCTAAATTCAAAAACAAAGAATGAATGCAAAACATATTTAACGTCACATTGTCATAAGATAAAATTATTTTTGTCCTCAAATTATTACACAAGTAGGTATTGTTTCACGTTTTTTCACGTGTATCCTGTTGTACAGTATTATGTTGACGTATTGTCAACGTTACGGCATTATCTGGGTTACAAAAATAACATAATAATAGGTATTATATCGTTATTTATGGTTACAGGATATTATCCTCCTCACATTATTTTTTTTTTAACAAGTATAATAGCACCTTTTTTTAATGAGCTTTTATATGCGTTTATCATTATTTAGGTAACGATATTGGTATTACCTACAATTTATTTCTAATAAGCCATAAATTGAGTTTTTAGACTTGTGTAAAGCCAAAGATATTAGGTTATGGTTTCGATATTGATGTATACATTGTCCCCCCCCCCCGTTATAGTTTTTTATCCAGTTACACCATTACTTAGTTCTCCGGGAAATTGAGGGAGAAAATAGGAATATACCAGTATCGCCACATAACCGGTTGGTTTTTATAGTGAGTGGTGACTTTTTAAAAATAATTCTTTGGAACCACTCATTTTGTTAAACATCTATATTGCTCATATTTAAATTGTTATTCACTTTGTCGAGTGGAACTACACTTAAACTATCTAAACCGAGGTTATTATACACTTAAACCAAAGCACACCGAACGGCGAGTGTCGTGTTTTTTAATAATCGATCATTCATCTCGTTCAAAGTCAGGTAATACCTACAGCTAATTGTATATTATGTTACTATATAATATAATATAATATTGTATGTTATAGTAAATGCCTTCTGAAAGTATGTGTAAACTGCACACAGAGTTCAAGTTGTCTGACTATTACCAGATTGAGATTATATTATGTCTGTAGTCGATGACATTCTGAAGTCAATTGTATACTACCTACAACATTATTATTGTATTTGAAACGATATTATGTTCAATTGTTGATCGCATGATGTCTTTGTACGTCGAAGTCACTTTTCCGACTGGGGACCATCTGGTAATGGCATTTTGTATTTGTTATTATCAATCTTCGCACAGTGTAAAACTTGTGGGGAATAAAATAAATCTATCCTACTTTATATAAAATATAAAAATGAAAATAATAAATCCCTTATATCACATCACGTTCGCGTTTACTAGATGGGTAAAATGGAATGAATCGATAACTAAATGAGTTTGGTAATGTTTTTCATGATTTATTAAAGATTTCACTGTACCTATAAGCACGTATAATACAATTGGTTGGTGATAGGTAACGAAAGTTTTTGAACATTTACTTAACCTCAGACTGGTCGAAAACTCGTCTATTTCTTTTCTTTTTTTGTCAAATAACATTAATAACATATTATCAAATTTTAATATAATAATATGACAATCAAGTTATGCGTAGTACGGTGTTAAGCGATGTTTGTTTTTACGAGGACCCTATTACGCGATATAGATTCTATTATAATAGTATGTCAAAAGTTGATATCTCGATTTTTCCAAACCAAACAGATTGAAATCCACTTAAAACTACTTTTACACTGCAGAAATACCATATTTATATAAAACTCGATATCTCGAACATTTTTCAGTCCCTCTCGGGATTCGAAATGACCAGAGGTTACTGTATAATATTATTGTAGTCATATTACTTGGATTCAGAGTGCTGACGATAACCATATAGACAGTGCCGTGTTGATGAGTGATCTCAGTAGATACGTACTTCATAAATATCTATCGCGTGAATTCGATCGATTTCGATCGCATACAATGTACATAATATTGTATATATTATTATTAAATACACACACAGTAAAAGTCGTTTTGTTTGTTGTGTTATATTCGATCGGCACGACTGATAATTCGTATACGCTCATTTTATAACAGGAATATATTTTTAATTAATTTACTAGTTTTTAAGTATAATATAGTAAGTTAAACGTAACATGTATGTTTTATACATACGCACGGTGTACCTGTAATTTATTATTACTATTATTCGATTTAATTCTATATATATATAAATATAGGTAGATACATGAATATTATATACCGTTTGAAAAAAAATTCAAAACAATTAGTCAAACATTTTCCTGAAAAAACTTCATCTCTTACGATACAAGTAAAGTCGTTGTATTACCTATCTATATGTATATGTTTTATAGCTAAAATTAAAATACTATAGGTACATGGTTCTCGTTTCACTGATTTATTGATTTCGAATAAAATACATCGTAGGTATGAGTATTTATTTAGTGGGTTGAAATATTAATTTATTCGACCCGACGGGCTCACTGAAGTTTCGCTTGTTTATTTTAATTTAATAACATGTTAATGCATCGAAAACTGTTATTAAGCAGAGGGTTATACTTTTTTCGTATCTGAATAAATAACAATAATAATAGTTATTCACTCGACTATAGTTTATATATTCAAAAGAATCGACTTCGCTGCGAAATCATCACATGATACCACGTGGTCTGTATACCTATGTTATAATGTCTGAAATATATTATTCGATATTCGTTTTATTAAAAAATCAAATTCAAACGATATTAAAATGTTCTTTAATTAATATCGACTGTTTCATAAAAGTTCTCGGCTCTCAAAATATATACCTAGGCACCTGCGTTCATTAGGAATTTCGTATACAAATGTATTCGTTCTAAGTCGGAATAATTCGTTTAGGGGCTTTGTTGTTCTAGTGGAACAGAATATATATTATTATACGACGTGTACCACAAACAGGCTCTGTGAATGGAAATTTAAAATAACTTAGCAAGGCATAATATATTATATAATACGATACCAATACACCAAAATTATGATTTTCATTTATTTTCGTATTTTTCTATATAATATAATATGTAATACTCGGCGTTCGCGTATAACGAGTTTTTGAACACAACGATTTATCTTCCATTACAAAATATGCGATTTTCAACACTGCTATATATTATAAAAATATAGTCTTTTAAGTTCCATCGATGAAAGCTTTTACTAGTACACAGTACAAAAGCCTTAATATAATATATTATGCAATTACGACATGTCGAGCATACCGATAATTCATTATCCCATATTTCTATATTATACACGTCACATCTCGTCAGTTTGTAATAGTATTATAATGGTTCCTAAAATGTTTTGAGCGCAATGAATATTATGAATAAATTGTGCGGCGTATAATGCGTCGTGTATAACTAGATTATTATACTGAATGATTTATACAGTTTAATACTCTGTCAGTATATACTATTGTATTCAGTCTCAAATTTCGTCATGTATTATATAATAAAAACAAACCCAATTTATGTTTGAGAAATGTTTGGTAAAATGTTTGTTCACGAATGGATCCATTGTAATAAAATAATCAAATTTTACAATCGGTTTTTCGACTCGGTAAATCGAATAAAAACAGAATCATTTGCGACTTATTACAAAAAGGAAGATCTATCTGTAAAAACCGTAATCTTAATAAAACAATTATTTGGAAAACTATTTAATTACTATACCTACGCTTGATTTCCTCTATACTGTAACATTTTTTATACCTACGTGGTGCACGTAATTTATAATAATATAATATAATCCATTACCTATAACCTATATAAATTGTAAAACGTATTTTTTAAAAATCGTGTTGGTGCTTTATGTCTGCGACAAGCAAGTGCAACCAATGTAGAAAATAATATGTTTAAAATGTGTTCGAAACGCGTTTTCTGTTTGGAAATGTGTTCGATATTTGCGCGAATGGTTTGGATTTATAGTTTCGTAGAGTATAATGTGAACAATAACGATCTTGAACTTTGAACTATCGATACGATTTTAATGCACTGCATTAATATACCTGTAAATGCATAATATTATTCATTGTTGTTTTATTTTGAGTTCAAAGTTCAAACTCCTAAAGAGGTTTAAGTAAATACGAGTAAAAATAATAGTAACAAATAGCATCGAACCAATAACTCCGTACCTATACTACAGTTATTAGGATATCTATAATATTATAAAAGTATTACAAATTTAGATTAATTTTGGCAAGAGATACCGATTATAATAATTATGCAATCGGTTGATTATACGTCATAGTAATAATTTGCATAATCAACGGTCACGCTAAATTAATATGTTCAGTAGTTTTTCATCATCGTCCAAAATGTTTGCAACCGAAAAACTAACGATTTATGCTTCTTCTCGTCATTGAATTAGGCTGTAATTATTTATTTTTAACATAAAAATATTATAATTTGAAAAATGTCGATCATATACGTCATGATAATGTTATTATTATTTTAGTTTTACGTAAAAGCGGAATATTATTACCGAAACGATTATCCGCGCCCCTGACGACGTGACGAAACGCAATTTATCGTGCACGACTGTGTGTGTGATAAGCCCGGTTCAGGATGAACAACTAATCTCGTCGGACGTCCACGGGACACCATCGCGGTGTAATATTATTATTGTTATTTATTGTCAATAATAATTATTATGATTACGCACACCGCGGCTGTGAGGTGTCGAAATCGGAAGGCGTTTTATCGGCAATAGCCAATCGTTTCGTTTGCAATAAAATAATAATATAATAAGATATATGCCTATTATAAGTAATGTGCCGTATACGAAAATGAACGGTCCTGTCGAGTGAGCGTGAAAAAAAAATTTAAAAGATGTTTTATCGTGGAACGAAATAATAACGTAAACTGCCCGTATATCCGGGGAAATTTCATACGAATTTATGCGAGTCTAATAATATGGTGCGGTGCGATCACGTGTGTCTCAGCCGCCGCCAGTGCGTAATTCATTGAGATTTAGATCGCGAAGAATGAAAAAAAAAATCTGTTTGTTTGGTCGCTATTTTACACGCACGCCGTCAATATAATATTATTATCATGCGCGGCGGTCTAATGTTTATCTAAAAACCACCGACTGTTGACGGCGGCGCTGGTGAATGGGGAACCCGTTAATAAAAAGAACGTCGAAAAAAACGACGTTCCATTTTATTTTTTTTTTAACCGGCGTTCTATAACGTAAGAATAAAAAAGACCCATCGTATATAATATATTATTATATTAATATTCGGTCCGATGAAGCGAGCAGCGGCTGACGATCGGATTAAAGAGCAGCGAGATGGACAAAAAACAACACTCCGATTGTGTGATGAATAATTTATTATCGTGCGACCGGTGAAAAATTGTTTCCGATCAATAATAAATATTAAAATATGGAATAACGACAAACGGCACGATCAGAGTTAAAATTGGTACACAGATTCAACGTTTCGTATACCCGTGGTATAATTATTATTTGAAATTTAATTACGAAACCATATAATACTATAGTATTTGGACCTATTGTGACCGAGTAAATCAATTTGAAAAATGTGTGTATGCACAACTACGAAATGAAAAAACAAAATCAAACCTGTGCATGAAGTATACAGAACATGGTTGATTGCAAAACTGTCAGAACTCCGCATAGTACATCATGTACACGAGGCACAAATTATTATAATAACTTATTTAAAGTAGAAAATATCATTAATAATGACATTCAAGGGACCAGGAAAAATAGGTCATAAAACTGATTTTCATTTCGACCGAAATTTTCAAAAAAACAGTATTCATGCTAATATATATGCATAGGTCTTTATTATCTCCATTCTCCACCATTGTTCTTACGACCAATTTTTAAGCAAAGGACAGCTATTCGTTGATTTGTATTGAACATATTTTTCGTTGTACCTACATTAAGGGGCCTCTTAACCTTAGAGGGTTTTTTAATTAAGGGGCCTTCTAGACCTTTTAACTGTCAACTCAAGTTCAAAATACCTATACTTTTGACAAAATTAAAGTTAGTTTAAATTGTCAGATAATAATTCTGAAAAAAGATTCAGCATAAAAATGTGTGTATAGATCGTACGCATTTCGAAAATATTTAATTTTATTTCATGTGTAATAAAATTAAAAATGGAGAGTTCCATACGATGTACAGACATTTTTCTCCCGAATTAAAATATTTTTTTTCAGAGTTAAAATCATGATAATATTAATTTTTTCAAAACAATAAGTAAGTTGCCGTAAAATTCGAATTTAGTGAATTTTATATTACTATCGAGTTATTGTCATGATCATGTGAGTACGAAACTGACATTCGTAGGTATCTGCATTGATATTTGATCCCCAACTAATAATTATTATTTACGACTAACACTTCGATACCTAACCACATGTTTATAAATTGCCTAATTGTAGCCCCTTAAATTAAAGCCATAGCAAGGCGCCAAGGCCCCAACGCCATAAACATTCAATGGGCAAATATGTATAGGCTCCAGTTTGTGACGAATATTTGGTTATCCAATGAGAATAATGGGTAAATGATAATACAAACTAAGGTACTTCGTGGTACAAAGGTACTAGTGGTCAGTGTTGGGGAATAACTTAACTTAAGTTACAAGTTACTGTAAAGAAATTACTTCTTAAATAATTTGATGGTAATTTAATTACATTTTATTGTAAGTAATTTATATGTAACTTACATAAGTGTCATCGGTGGGTGGCTTCTTAGCTCATAATTTCATGTTTTTATTGTGTCTAAGCTCATACTCTTATTGTGCCGATTGTGTACAGATTGTGTATTACTAATAAAGAAAAAAAAAAATATGTAATTTAATTTACTTTTTCGTAATAATTTTACTAAATTACTAGTTACTTTTTTTTTAGATTAATACATTTTTAGAGTGTATTGATAATATTGTGTGTAGGTAAATATTAAAATATATCATAATATAACTTATAATTATTTTAATTTATAAGTAAAATTGTCTAAACTATTTTTGTTATAGCAATTGACTATTCGACTATAAAGTGTTACTTTTAGAATGGAATTCTTATCTTTACTCTGTGTTGTATCGTCGCGTCACGGCTCACGGCGTCAGTGTCTGCGCATACAGCATTGTTGGAACTATCAATAAATAGTAATAATAATAAAAGTGTGGGAGACGGAATGGCCGAGCGGACTAAGGTGTTGGTTGCAACGCGCACCGTCGCCGGTTCGAATTTCGGTCAAGGGTGGGAACTTCTCTCCGGGCAGACATCTGTCTGAAGAGAGAGGGCGCCATCCCCCGACCGGGCATGGCAGAAACCTACCGGTGCCCAATTTTAAATTCTGCCAAGCTAAAACACACGTGTTTACAAACCTTCATCACAGTTAAAAACCACCCAATTGCCTAAGTTGCTGCGGATTAGTTAATAAAAAAAAAAATGAATTAATAAATAAATGTGTGGCTTGGCTGATAGCTACTAGTCTTGGAATACGACTGAGAGTAAGTTAAGCCCGCTACTACTAGTTCTCGGATGGGTGACCACCCGGATTCGTAGTAGTAAAAACCTTGGCACACTTACTCATGTTTGCATACGTACCGTAACAATCGTAACAACACCTCACCATACCAACCTTACCAACTACAGTTCATAATCCCCTATAACAGCTAATGGCCATAGTTGCCGGGCTTTAATAGTGTAGCAAAATGAGTATCTGTTAATAATTTCATATTTTTGATTGTCGTTACCTATTTAATTTATGTATTGTTATATTGACAACATGATTATTATTAAGCTCCAGTGATATTTTTGAAAAATGTAACTTCTATTGTAATTCAGTTACTTTTTAAACTCAAAATTAATGTAACTTAACCAAATTAAAAATAATTTAGTTACAATTTTGATAAGTAATTAGTAATGTAATTTAATTACCAAAAAAAAGTAACTTCTCCAATACTGCTTGGTTCGTTTTAAAAAATGTATATATTTTTAATTTGGTGAAGAAGTTTACATTGTATAGGTGGGAGTATATTATATTCAATATATTTAATTATTTTTAGTATATTTAATTAAAAAATTGATAAAATTCAAAACGTTTATTACTGTCAATAGTTTACTACCATTTTAAAAGTGCTCAGCTCAATGTAAGTTATCTTGTTTATGCACTTAATTACATGTACATGGACCTGAGTAATATGTATGATGTAGGTAATGGATGGAGACTAATTTACTACGCACACAACGAAGACCGTTGACAGCAAAGAACGAAAGAATTGCCTAATCACAACTCCTTAAAAATGATAGGTTTGCAGGAGCCTTGATATTTTATATTATCTTGAAATGTATTATTGTTCTCATAAACCGATGATAACATAGTCCGTATATTGAGTGATCATTATAAATAAACTATTTGTCAAAATTCACCAAAAATAAACGTGATTATAACATCCATTTGGTAATTATAAGAACGACGTCAGAAACTCACAACCACCGATAAAAATTAGCATATTGTAATACATACGATATTTTCTAGGACCTTTAATTTTAGGTCATTAATCCCTGTATGTCACTACAACAGGTGTCATTATAAACGGTTTTTACTATAATACAATTGGGTACCTATATTCGGTTATTGTCGTGAAGTTTGTTGGGAGACTTTGGTCGATATTTTTCACTTTGTTTTTTTTTTACAGTGTTTTCTGCTGTGAAAACGCTCGACGAACGGTGACGGAGCGTTACCTCGTTCAACACTTAGAACAAACTTTGAAGGTTACTATAATTTTTTTAACCATTCGCATTATATTGTTAATATAATAATATTGTAAGGTATTGTGTGGAATTGTGAAGGTGGAAAATTATTGTGATTATTCAATTATGATTGATTATCTTAATAACTGTCGTGTTATAAGCGAACTATCCAATGCCCAAAAAGTATTCTAAAACGGCTTTAAAGTGTCAATACAGTTACTAATTAGTTAATACCTTTTTTTTTCACTCTATATATTTTATTAGGCGTCGGAAATCAGTATATAATATTATAATGTTTAATTTTCCTGAACAGAAAAATATAACGTAAAATTATTGCAACAAGTTTTGACTATTTGAGAGTTTTTATCACTTATCGATACTTTTGCCAATACAACGTCACACAACGTTTATTTAGAAATTCGTCAATGGCTTTTTTAATCCATTTCATGCACTTAGCTCATCATCCGGTCGAATATTATTTGAGTCACATGATATTATATACTGCAGCCATAAGTAATAATGGTGTAATATATTAAATATTATTAATAGGTACTGTTATTATCGTATTGTTTGGGAATTCAAAACGACGAATCACAATAATATTATCATACTGTTGAATTGATAAAATACACGTACCCGTGTATAATATTATTTAATCGTGTCCCGTCGAAATTTCTGTCTGACGGAAATGTCGTTAGTTTTTTTACCATTTATGGCAGATTTAAAAAAAAAAATCGCCCGTCTTCTTATGAATTCGTTTCATAGACAGTCACTGTAATTTCTTTGTATTAGACGTATCGTATACTGCAGCACGGTGCGACGTTGCAGAAAACGCGTTTATGTAGACAAACTAAAACCATATAAAATAGGGCTCCATGATAGGAAATCGATTAGTTTCGAACGCTATTACGCAGAATCATTTTCAAACCGCGTCGCTATTCTACGTTTTTATGACGTATATAGTTCACGCTGGGACTTGGTGTCTCTCGGACAACGACTCGAATACAAGTGCAGGTAGGTCCGTCCATACCATGTAATTAATTTAATATTATTTATTTTAATCGCTTCGTATACTTCGTCCTTCGGAGAACTGCGATCGCGTCCCTATGGGCCAGTAGTGTTTCTCAATCTATGATCCGTGCAGCCTTAGGACTTAAGATTTTTTTCAAACTGTCAAGGGCTCTGTGAAGAAAACAGTTTGAGAACCGCAGCTACAGACTAATCTCTAATACCATATAATACCTAATAATAAATTTAATAATATCATTATGCCGCTCGGGATTTCGGCTTCAACTTTCCGGACTCGTACATCATCGGTGAGGTCCAGAGAAGTGGCAAGCCGCGTTAGAATCTCCAGGATCACGACCGCGGTAACCTCGTCCTTGTATTGTTCAATCCTGGAAAAAAGGTCGTCGTCGTTTTCGCCGCCATCGCCGACCATTTTTTCCACGACTGTCCGTCCGATTTTCCATCGATCCGCAGCCGTCCGCCTGGTTATCGATCGAACCGTTTTCACGTCTCCGCCGTCCGTAAGTAGTGCGTTTACGAATTATTTAAGTGTGGTATACTGTGCGACGAAATTCCAGCGAAACGAGTCGGCCACAGTGTATTATGCACACAGGTGTTTGCGAACATCATCTGCTGATCCAACGAAACACGTCGCCCATTTTCCGAGGATTACCGTCCAAGGGCGGCGCATAAAGGTAATGGTCGCACATTAATACATAATCACCTTATACACAGGCACAATAAAAATCGTTTATAATGACGTTGGAGAGACCAGGGAAATGGGTACCCATAAATCATAATGAAAGTTGTAAAAACCAAAATTCAAAAAATAAAAGCCTTTACTAAACGGCTAGGTAGGTAGGTATAATATTATATTTAAATCACAAAATGTTAATTCTATAGTATATTATGTATATATTATTAAAAAGTATAGTATATTTGCATTAGTTAACTTTAATGTGTAGTATTCTATAATATATAATTTTTATTAGGGTAGGTACATTAAAATTAATTTATATTCGTTACTTTTGTTTGTAACGTAATATTTTTTTTAAATAAAACATGTTGTATTTTCGTTTCAACGTTGCTTCCTTTTGATTTTGTATTAAAGACAGTCAAATCTTTCACAGATTATTTGATATTTTGCATTATCTTGAAATTCATCAAAAACAAATGTAAATTTCTTCAGCCGAAAGGTTATTAAATCCGGTATGACACTACAACTGGTGTACAACTCTACAAAATGTAGTGTTAGTACAGTAAGCTGTACAAAATGTATAATATTATATTATACCTAAACTAACAATCCCTAACATTAAATTACATTTGTATTATTGGGTTGATAAAAGATATGTGTTGAATTATTAGGTAATTTATTATTAGAATGTAGCATCTGATATTGAAAAATTGTGATAATATTGTACATCTAGCAGTAATTTTGATCAGCAATTGTTATCAACCTCTTCTCCTCTTTCGCCCCTCCCCTGAGAGACTTTGTTTTAAACTTATAAATTTAAATTAAATCTATATTATAACGTAACTATGTACTTGTATAGTTGTATATTATTTATCAAAATTCATATTATTATAATATTCTATAATATCTTCTCTACGCCCATAACACGAAAGTACACTCAATATACTCACACAGGTGTATAGTTTTTTGTTTCTTTACAATGTAATAATACATAGTACGCTCCGAGCAAACTTTCTCCTCTCTCATTTCAAATCTTGTTTACCCGCGTGCCACTACTATACTATCATATTATTATAATAGTTACAACGTCTTATACTATACTGCACCTACTCCTACTCTTCTTACTGCTACTATATAGTTGTTCATAATTTATACTCCTACTACTAATACTATACTACATACTATATACTATTCTACTACAACTTCTACTACTACTTTACTATAATACCACTCCTAAGTATAGTGTATACCGTATACACTACTATATTATATGCGTTGTACATATTGTACATATTGTTAAGTTACACTGTTCACTGTATTATGATGTAGGTAGGTGTCTACATGTGCACTTCCACACGAGGTGCGTCGATTCTTTTTATTTACTCCAAACAGTGTTGTTTACAAGTAATATTAATATTATATGTTCAGAGAGAAAATTATTTTCAAGGTACTGTGATTTTAATGTATAGCTGGTAATAACCTTTATGTTGATTTTTTTTTAAGTTTTTCGGGGGACGACGTTTTTCCCCTCACAATAAAATCACTCCCCCCCAGGCTATCGAGCAATGTGTTAAATCTCGGGTTATGAGTATGAAATATTTCACATGAAATTTTCACTTTAAAATATTTCAAACTTGAAACTTTCACCCTTCTTGAAATATTGAAAAATATATTTTTAAAACTGTGTTTTTTGGTACCTCTTGATTTCATACCTGATTAGTGATTATCAATATTTAATTCCTAATCATGATATCAAGAAGTTATTATATATATATATGATAGATAATTATTATTATGTAATTTGTATTAAGTACTATATAAGAAATATTTCTATAATATTTTTCATTTAACACTTAACTAAGTAAAGGTGTTAGAGTACTTTCTACATGGTTTTAAATTAAAATTTGTTTTTTTTATATTTCAAAAACATAAATTTCAGAACTCTAACCTCCGACGGATTGCCCAATTAATTCACAAAGCTAGACACATCGATGCCGATTTGCCTATGAACTGAGCTCTAAGGTACCCACACTACAACCGAAATACACCGATATAACACCGCGTATCCTATGTTTTCCCGGCTGGTTATACTGTAACTAGTATGATATTCCCCAGAAATTGTTCGCACAAAATACGGTTTTTGTACTGGTGTAGCAATAATTATTAATTATTATATTGCTGACTTGTATGCTATACACTGTATTAAAAATAAATATCGTGTAAAAATAACAACACTGCAGTCGACTGTTCCGTATCGTGTACATATCGTGTAACGATTAAACATTTTTTTTTAACATCGCCATTATAGACTTGGTACAATATCGGCTGCATTAAATAAATATTTTATCGACTCACTGAACGTGGTCCGACGTATTAAAAAGTCGTTAAAGTTAATGGATCATTTTTATACACGCAACAATACAACAACAACAACAACGTTTATTGAAAACGAAATTTAACAAACGTGAGTCATTAAGGGTATGGGTGTGCGTTTTCCGTGGAAGTTTGGAATCACTCCGTTTCTGCGTGTACTTACGCTAAATGATATAATACAGAGTGTACCAAGCATGCTCACCCCAGTTTATTCATTTAATAGGTAACGAATTCATTTTTCACGAATTCTGATTTTTGGACTTTGTAAATATACTTAAAGATCGTATATTTACCTATTTTAAATCTTGAGATTTTTATATTATTTAAGGAGTGTCCTGTGGATATATAAACTTCTGTTTTTCAAACAAAAATCCCTCTTTTTTACAGTTCAAGTGGGTCACTGTATAATAGACGGTATTAAATTTGAATTCAATGATATAATATCATTGTATAAGAAAAACGATTCTGAGCGAAAACGGTTAGTCAGCTTATGATATTAAGAAGTATATTTGATGATATTATTGTGAATAAAGTAATTTATATATTTACCTCGTTACGTGGACCCTTGTTTCATGTTTTCAGTCCTTAGATATAAAAATTGAACATTTTATAAATTTTTAACTACAAAATAATTATTCAATTTTAAATTTGATAAATTTTGTCGAAATTTTATCTTTAAATGGTTATAAAAAAAAATTGTGCCTATGTATTTTTAATATTTTTCAACTGATATTGTATAAATATATCAGGTTAGCCTTGTATTACATTTTTACACTTTTTGGCCCAACAGATAAAACTTTATTGATATTTATATAAAAAAAACTAAAAAATTTTAAAACTCAAAATGTTCGTAAACAGCTTGTATGGTGTATAGAAAACACTAATATAAACATTCAGTGACATTTTCATGTATCTACAGTCATTCATTTTTGAATTACAACAAAATAAGGAAATTGCTACACGAGAATCGAGTGAATATCCAATGTTGTAAAAATTTGAATTTTAGGCGCTCATAAGAATTTAATTTTACCTTCTTATAGATATTTTTTTTTTTGATAAAGGTAGATAATCTTATAAGGAATCTTGTATTACATTTTAAAACCTTAGATTTAAAAAGAAAAATTTTTACGAATTCTTAACTCAAAATAATTTGCTAATGTTCGTGATTTTTCCATATTTTGTCAATTTTTGAACTTTAAATACTTATAAAAAAAAACTGTGACTTAAGATTTTTAATATTTTTCATCTGCCTTTCAAACAATATACTAGGAAATTTCTATTAAATTGTCAAGCTTCTTTAACCAACAAATAAAATTTTATTGATATTTTTAGAAAAAAAACTAAAAAAAAATGGGAAATGAAAATGTTCCTAAACAGTTCAAAACAAATCATAATATTTTGAAAAATGCTAATACAAACCAGTGAAAATTTCATGTATATGAATGATACATTCATTTGTTTTAGATTTATACCAAAAACTAAAATCGATTTTGTGGAAAACCAATTTTGAGTAAAAATTCCAGTTTTTTCTTAATTTGTATGTTGTTTTTCCCTGCGCTTGTGAAAACTATCGGGAGTTTTAAAATTTGGCCTCCCGAATGCACCAACTAGATTCACTTTCCCATCGAACAAGATACTGTTGAAAAATATCGCAAAAAATCTCAAAAGCAGATTTACTGCCCCAAACCGTGATAAACGACACAAAAAAAAAAAAGAAAAAAAAGAAAAGAAAAAACACACATCATTGTAAAATCAATACATTCATCGTTTCACTCAGAGTCTAAAATGGAATTACAAAAATAAAAATAGATGTGATATTGGAATTTTAGTGTTTATTAGGTATTTTTTATAAGACCATTTTCAAGTCACTACAGTCCTCATATCCATACTATGTACCAAACCCATTAATATCGTTAAATAACTCAAAAACTATTAATTCAACTAAATATTTTGACGTCATCATTTTCAGGAAAAGTATCTGCTAAATAATTTTCAATAGAAAAAGGGGGTTCTAATTTTAAAAACAAAACGTGTTATCTCCACATGACACTCCGTATAAGTAGTGCGAAAAAACCTCAAGAATTTGAAAATATATATTATTATGGTCCTTAAATATATATAATATTTAAAAAATGTAAACTTCAGATTTTGAACAGAAAAAAATGGGTGAGCCTACTTGGTTAATCGCCCTGTATATTATATATCAGGTATATAAAATGTGTGGTGCCCGCGCCCGTGGGTTATTACAAAATAGTAAACTAATAATAATTTATAACTATGGCGGGCGAAAGACGAGGGTATTCAATTTAAAGTTTGATCGGATGATGGCGACGGTGTCCTCATTATTATACACTCGCAAACCG